GCTTGGCATCAGAATGGCAAGCAGGTTGTCAATTGAGTCAATTGAGTCAAGCTGTCAAGTGGTAGTGGTGTTTGAATTAAATATTGTCAATTGAATCATTTGTTGTCAAATGGCATGCGCTGTCAATTGAGCCAGTTGTTATGGATCAATTGCTCCATGGGCCTTTGTCCATAGTCCTTGTAGCACTTCTCTTATTTAGGTCATCCGCCACAGCGAGTTCAAGTCGGTGGTCCTGGACATTTTGTCCCGGCCAGGGAACATCGTCCGGTTTCCTGTCTGCATTTGGCTAGTCTTGACCTGTTATTCTTCTTGTGATGCTTGCAATTGTGTCATTTGAATGTGTTGGAGCAATTCACAGTTTTGATGTGAATTTCAGAAGAGCAATTTCCCTCAGTCAAAGCTTCAACGTTTACACATTCAGACTTGTCTTGCTGAGGCTGACTTGCAGTTGGGGCTGGCACCGGACACTTGGGACGGCCAGTGCCATCATCCGGATCTTGCAGATGGCAGGGTGCGAAGTGGTGCTCTACAGCGCAAAGCTGAGCATGAATCCGCAGCTGGATTCCTGTAACACCATTGCGTTTCTTCAGGGTTCGCCCAATGTGTGTCTTGCCTCAAATTGAGCTGAGCTGTTTGGATGCTTCACTTGGGGGGTTGTAGTGATAAACTTGTGGGATCGAAATGCGAAACAAGTCAGTTCTCTTACATTCACAATAAGTTCTGTCTTCAAACATTAATGGTTTTTAACCATCAACATTTGCCCCAATTAAATTGCCTCAATTGATTCTTGTAATGTTTTCAATTGATTCAATTGCCTCAATTGACTCATTCAACGACTTGTTGGCCGCTCAGTGTTGCTAAGGAACATGCGAACCCTGACTCAGAACCTTTTCGACGACTTGACAGGTGTGGCCTGGACCGAGGATGACTTCGAGCAGAGCCTGGACAGGGCCAGAAACCTTTGGAGGGAAGTTTGGCCAGAGGCTAGCATCAAATTTCTGCGTGGCAAATCCATACCGCCTGCTCCAGCAGATCCACCTCCACCCAGGGCAATTGGGCCCATTGCCACAGCACCAATTGGGTCTGCCGCAGCACCAATTGGGTCATTTCGGTCAATTGCGTCATCTTCTGCCAGTGGCAGCAAAGCCCCGGCTGCCAAGGCCATGCCTTCAAAGCCTGACAGGCCAGCTCCCAAGCCACCAGGGAGGGAGGCAATGAAGGAGGAGCTGAAGGAGGAGCAGCCACAGGAAAAGACTGAGGGCGCAGATGTCAATGTCAAGAAAGAGGAGGGCGTCGCTCCGCCCCCAGGTCTTGGGCTTGTGGATGAGCTCCAGGCCATGACCCCAGCGCAGAAGAAGGCCAGGATACAATTGTTTCAATTGACAAAGCCTTGTCGTGGCCATATTGGATGACATGTTGCATGGTTCCAGTTGTAATATCATTTGCATTTAATCAAATCATGTTGTTTCCCTTTGTCGCTGATAGGTGAAGCTCAGCCAGCCCTATGTGCGGGAGATGATCCAGGAGCAGATTACCTTCTTGCAGAGCTTGCTTGACAGTGATATTGAAGGTGGTGATGGATGGGAGGAGGTGTTGTGCTATGGCTGCAGTCCAGCTGTGGGAAGAGGAGTGAATTCATTATATATATAATATTATTTATGACATTTGCATCATGTCATTCATTTCATGTGGTGTCATGCCATGCCTGCCTGTGATTCTGACCGAGGACTGAGGTCCTGACCGACTACAATATCAACCAGGGTGTGCGGACCATGCTCTCCAATGCCAAGATCTCCCGGAGCCACAAGATCAAGCTTATGTGTCTGGTCTGCATGTTGAGATATTTGATTCACAGCTTGGACAACAGGTTTGGAATTGCGTCAAGGCAAACAATGGTTTGAATTGTGTGAATTGGTTTCTGAAGTTCAGCTTTGTTGTTTGGAATTGTGTGTTTGTCAATGCCAAGGATCAACATGTTGTTTCGCTGGGGGGACAAGTTCGAGTCAAATGACTGGTTGCGCAACGCAATTCGCAACTTGGCTTGACATGTCATGAGTGAGCTTTCATGATAGTTGAAAAAACATTGATGTCATATTCGATATCCAAAATAATATCTTCAACTTGTCAAGAAGCGCTTGTACTCCAGGTCAAGAAGAGCTTGATGCCTGTTCATCTTGGCGGTGAAATGCATAATTAATGTTCTGGGCCAATTGAGCTCAATAAATTTGTGGCATTTGTGTAATTTGTATCAATTGTGTCATGTTCTATTGCAAAAAGCAGTGAATGGTTTTGACAGACAAAGAAATCAAGGTTTGGTGTTTGTTTCCAGTCTATGAGCCCATGCTGTCGTGTTTTATTTAAGCAAGAATGAAGCAATGACGTTTTTGCGCAGATCATTGCAAGTGGATGGTCCCTGTGAACAGCCATGACCTAGTGCTCATAAAGACCACAGCCATGCAAAAAGGAAGCTAAAAAAGGTGAATGCTAATCCCAGTGCAAGGTGATCATGTTGCAGAAGCAGGATGAAACACTGTCATGGCAGCGGATGCTTCATGTTTATGTTGTTCAAAGTTGTTTGTTAGGCAGATCATTGATGAAGCTTGGTGGGATGGGCTCAGTTAACATAGGATGCACAAAGTGTGTAGTTCTCAAATCATAGAATTATCTCAAGTGAGTCAATTGAGTCAATTGAGTCAATTTGTCATCCCAGAAAACTTCACTGCCAAGTTGTTTCAACTGATGCATTGCTTCATAGCCAGATTATGTGACATCCCCATGTGTGAGGCAGATCGAATGATTGGCCTTGGTGGCGTTCTTCGAACAGCAGGCATGGTCTTTGTCTCAAGCATCAATTTGCAGTACATGATTCAATTGTGTCAATTGGTCATTGTCAATCAATTGAGTTGCTTCAGCTGTTTCAGTTGGATTCAATATGCACCAATATAATCACACAATATACTTTCATAATTTAAATTTAGATATGAAGACATAATGTCAAGTGCATGGATGTAAATATTCAAAACTATGAATACTTGTATGAACTTCTCAAAATTGCCCAAAATTGTTCTAAAAATACTTATACCTGCCAAAAGAAAAAATCTGCTCAAAATTGCTTAAAAGTACTTATACCTGCCCAAAAAATCTGCTCAAAATTGCTCCAAATTGCTCAAACTTATTTAAAAGGACTTATATCTGCCCAAAAAAAAATGCTAAAAAATGCTCAAAATGGTTCAAAATTGCTCAAAATTGTTTAAAAGTACTTATACCTGCCCACAAAAATCTGCTCAAAATTGCTCAAAATTGTTTAAAAGCACTTATACCTGCCCACAAAAATCTGCTCAAAATTGCTCAAAATACCTGCCCACAAAATCTGCTCAAAATTGCTCAAAATACCTGCCCACAAAATCTGCTCAAAATTGCTCAAAATTGCTCAAAAGTACTTAAAAAGTACTTATACCTACCCAAAAAATCTGCTCAAAATTGCTTAAAAAGTACTTATACCTGCCCAAAAAATCTGCTCAAAATTGCTCAAAATTGCTCAAAATGGCTCAAAATGGCTCAAAATTGCTCAAAAATGCTCAAAATGTCTCAAAATGTCTCAAAATGCCATTTTGAGAAATTTTGAGGTGATTTTGAGACATTTTGAGACATTTTGAGACATTTTGAGACATTTTGAGACATATTGAGACATATTAGGTGATAGAATCAACACGATGCATGATAATAATGTAGTTAGATCAATAACGTTGTATGGTGTGCAAATCATGATTAGGTGATAGAATCAACACGATACATGATACCAATGTAGTTAAATCAATAACGTTGCAAATCATGCTGCAGCAATTGAGTGAGTCAAGCAATTGTAGCCATCACATTTGACACAATTGAGTCAATTGGATCATCATGCCAGCTGCCCCTGTGAACCGAGCTTCCAAGAGACAACGCACTTTGCCCCAGATGATGGAACACATGATGAATCCCATGATGATGAATCCCATGATGGGTGGAATGATGAATCCCATGATGGGAGGTGGCATGGCGCCTATGTTGATGGGTGGCTGCAATGGAATGATGGGACCCATGAATGGAATGATGGGTGGAATGATGAACCCAGCAGCCATGCGTCGAATGATGGAAGATGTTGCGGCTGGGGAAGATGAGGAAGAATTCCATGATGATGATGTTGGTGCAGTCCAAGATGTTCCTCCTCCTCAGCCTGCTGCTGCTTCGGCCTCTGTGGTTGCGCAGCCTGTGGCTCCTGCTGTGCCTGTCCCTGCTCAGCCTGAGCACCAGCCGCCGCCTGTGCTCCCTTACAACAAGAGTGATGATGCTGCCATCACAAGGTCTGCAAGTATGATCAGAGGCCTGGGGTGGGACATGTATGTAACCGATGTTGATATGATGATCCTATGTTTGTTTTAAGTTTTGTTGATATGATGATCCTATGTTATGTTGATATGATGATCCTATTTTTGTTTTAAGTTATGTTGATATGATGATCCTATGTTTGTTTTAAGTTATGTTGATATGATGATCCTATGTTATGTTGATATGATGATCATATTTTTGTTTTAAGTTATGTTGATATGATGATCCTATGTTTGATTGAATTTAAGTTATGTTGATGTGATGATCCTATGTTATGTTGATATGATGATCCTATTTTTGTTTTAAGTTATGTTGATATGATGATCCTATGTTTGATTCAATTTAAGTTATGTTGATATGATGATCCTATGTTATGTTGATATGATGATCCTATGTTTTTTTAATTTATGTTGATATGATGATCATATGTTTGTTTTAGTTACCATGCTAGTGGGAAAATGGTAAAATGTTTGCAAGATAAAATTGTGCAATGTTCATTTCATGAATGGTCATATGGTCTGCTTCCTGTGGTTGTCAGGCATTCCCATGACAAGACTTTCCTATTCCATTGAGAAGTTGGTGCCAGCCCTGGATGCCGGCTACACCAGTGGCCTCACCCAGCGAGGTCTTCTTCAGCTTCTCTGGATCATCACGAAGTTAAAGCCATCTCTCAAGATTTCGAATCTTCGTGATTTGGTGAGAATCAATCAGTGTTGTTGTTTTAGATTACGATTATTAATACTTTAGTTGTTGTTTGTGTAGTTCATTAGATTGTCCCTGTTTGGCCATGTTGTGTTGAGTTGTTGTGTCTTTGCAGCCACAGATAATGTCATCCAATGACAATGAAATGTTTATATACATTTATATATTAATAATGTAAAATATACAATGATAGAGATTCTTCAACATCAGTCAAAAGTTATTGTACCCATCTCACCATCAATCGCCCAGGTGTGACCTCGTATGAGGATCTTGGCAACAGGTTCAAGAAGGCCCATGACAGGATCAAGGATTCCTGCGAAGGGTTTCCTGACAACATCGTCCAGGAGCTTCCGTTGGTCTTGGGGGATGCCGAGGTCAATGATGTGGCTGTTGCTCAGGGATGGAAAGATGAGTTCCTGAAGCCTGTTTCTTGCGCAAAGGCTCCTCCGCCCAGTGTTGCTGAGTTCTTTGCAGGCAGGCGTCCGGCTGCAGCACCTGTGCCGGCGTTGCCTCACCCCCCTGCGCGCAATTCGTCAATTGCGTCAATTGCCCCAATTGCTGTGACAACAAGCAAAGCTGCTCCGCCAGCTCCAGCCAGCCCAGCTGCTGAGGCAGCTGCTCCGCCAGCTCCAGCCCGCCCAGCTGCTGAGGCAGCTGTGAGAGATGCCACTCCACCAGCTGAGCCTAGCCCAGATGGAGATGCCCAGGGAGCTGAGCCTAGCCCAGCTGTGGACCTGGCTGTCGAGCCTAGCCCAGCTGCTGAGGCAGCAGCTGTGACTGTGCCAGCTGCAGATGGAGATGGCCCACCCATTTGTCTGATTTGCCAGCAGGAGATGACCAATGGCGCGATGAAGACACTTGGGTGCGGCCACACATATCATCTTTCTTGTATGGAAAGCTGGTACACAGCAACATCCAACTTCGAAGAGCGTTGCCCTCTCCGTTGCCAGATCACGCCCCCGGCTGGTGATCGAGCTGTTCGAGGAGCGGATGACTTCGAGGTTGTGGACTTCGTGTGAGTCTGAGTGAGTGACTGGCAGATGATCCGATGGCTGAACTTGGCCCAATCTAGTTGGCAGATGGCTTGGTCAAGCCAGTGAGGAAACTTTAAGTTGCAGCAGAGTTGTTTATGAGTTGTCTATAGTATAATCTCAATTTTGTTTTTTTGAACCATTGGCTGGCCATCATCGAATTTTATAGTTTGTCTCATTTGGGGGGGATTCTCTCTGCAGTGGAGTCAGCTAAATGCCGGACCACTTTAGCTTTGACGCACTTCATTTGTCAATTGCCATCAATTGAGGTGTGTGAGTTGCAATTGTGGTTTGCCAGCAGCAAAGGCGTTGGTCTGAAGCTCCATTGGAAGAGATGATGGGGAAAATGCATTGTTATGCTATTGCTATTGCAAGCTGATTTCATTGAATCGTTAAAAGCTTGTGCTGGAGCTCCTTTTTTTACTTGTGTTGTTTCTGTAGCTTACTTTTCTGCAGGCTTCGTTGTGGAGTGAGAAGGCTGGAACTTCACTGACTTTCTGAATTCTTTACACTTGTGCAATGATGATGGTGAAGTTGAACAGTTGAACTGTCAAGACTGCCGGAAGTCATTCATTGCTGTTCGCACATTGGTGAGTTGGTATGTGCCTGCCAGATTTGGATCAATTGACTTCTTCAATTGAAAAAAAACTATATATAATGATTCATAAGACAACCAAACAAGAATCATGACAATCAAACCAAACAATCTTCAGGCTTTGAACAAATGATGTTTGAATTGCAGTGCAGCAATGGTGCCAAACCATGGACAATCAGTAAGACATCACAAACCTAAACCATGGCCAATCTGTAAGACATCATTTGAGTTTCAGGTAGTTCAATGGAGTCAATTGTGTGAATTGTCTCATGGACTTCGATGATGGCGGCAGTGACAGTCAGGAAGGGCGTGACGACTTTCAGTCCCTGACTACAGACTTGGAGCCCTTTGCTTGCGATCACCCATTGCTGAAGTTTGGCCAAGTTGGCTACAATGGACCTCCTGGCTTCATGTGGGACTTTGCCTATGTCTATGACAACCTTCATGCTTTGGGCGAAAAGAAGCAGAAGTACAAGATGTTAAAGGAGCTCCAGGAACAATGCTGTGAAGGGCAACACTTGTCCAGGGAAGATTTGCATGTGAAAAAGGAAAGAAGGCTAGCCAATTAGCCCAAAACAAAATTGTCCTTGATGAATCATGGTCGAACTATGTTAGACATGATTGGACATGAAGAGGTTGTTTCAATTATGTAATCAAGAGTAATCATCAGCATTTGTTGTGCAGGCGAGGGTGCTTGGCCGTTGATGCAGTGAGCACATTGCTTGTCTTGCACTTTTTGCTCGACTTGCTCAACAAATCAAGAACTGATGCCAAAGCGCTGACTATGAGAAACTATTTCAAAGATGTTGGCATGCTGGTCACCCAGGAAGCAAGTCGCCACAATGATGTGCTGAAGTTTTCAGTTGGTGACTTTCCTATGCATGTTCTGCCTACAGGGAAGTTGCAAGGCTTTCGTTTGTGGCTCGGAAGACATGTTCACAAACAGGTGGTTCAATTATGGCTTACACTGTGGAAGTGGATGGCCAGGGAAGACAATGGGCCACTTCTGACAGAAGACATTTCCAGCAACGATGATGAGGAGCCTTCCTTGGTGGATTTACTCATGTTTTGTGTCAATTTTATACATTCCTACATTCGTTTCGACAGCCTCCCCCTTTCTCCACCGATAGCATGAGAAATCTGCAACAATGCGTTCTCAAGTTTGTGGCGTGGGTTGTCAACAATGTGGTGCTTGAGATGATGACCCAGCAGGACGATTCTCAGCCAGTGCCATCCAGACGCGTGAGAAGGCTAGGTGGTAGTCAAAATGCATTACTTTTTGTTTACTGTAAAATAGTTTTGTGCCTGTGTGAATTCTCGAAGGTGTGGAAATTAAAGGTTTTGAACCTTGCCAAACAGGAACTCCGATGCAAATCTGCGGAAGATGAGTCCTCATGAGATCTGGCGTGTCATTGAGCAAAGCAAGGATACTGGGGTGTCATACCAAAAGATTTGTGCTCTGCGAAAAGATGACCCACAAGGAGGAATCAGTGAGCAGCTGACGTGGGTTTGGCAGAGAAAATTGTTGTCAATGTACAGGCAGTCATCAAGGCTAAGTTTCTTGAATGTGAAGAACTTCGCCATTGTCACGGATGCCTCAACTCATAGCAACAAGGACTACCTGATGAGCCTGGCCTATGACCCTGTAAATGGAGTAGGGGCTCACATGTGCTCAGTTCACGTCAGGTCAACAAAAGTGTTACACCCACAGGAGATGGAGCTGACACCAGAAGCAGAGCGCTTGGCAGCGAGACGGGAAATTGAACGGCTTAGCAGCTTGAAGTTCTTGCAAGGCCTTTCGGCCCAGATATGCAAGTTGACTGACCTTCGCTTGGATGATTTTAAATTTCCTGAAGTCTTGCTCAAAATGTTGGAGCTGCAACCAGGCGATAACTTCTTCTTTGACGACAATGTCGCAGTGCTGAATGGAGAGGAGTTTCAATTAAGTCAATTACGTCAATTGTCTGATTTGCCTTGTTTGCATTGCATCATGGACCAAGGCAAAGTTGGCTGCGCAGCTGCTGCCTTTGTCACTTCCCAAGCTGGCCTCCAAATCCACTTCACCTTCGACAAGATTCACCGCCTGTTGAGAGACCTGAAAAACCCAATCAAAGCAGCTGGCTTGGAATCTTGTGTTTTGGCAACAACGTATCTGTTCAGCGTCAACACCAAGCCTTTTGGAAGTGGCCAATGGTTTACGGAAAAAACTCAGATCTTGGAAGCATTCTTTGAATCCAACAGCTTTGATCCTGGGTCATTTGCTTGGATCTCACTTTTTTGCTGAAGTTGGTTGTTGATTTTGTTTGTTTGCGAATGTAGGCTACTGGAACAAATCATATTTGAAATCAAGTTTTGAAGCAGCTCAGGACTGCCAATGGTTTCAGGCATTGAAAGAGAGAATTGCCAATGATTTTGGTATGGAAGGGTGCTCCGACAGGGAGATCTGGGACTCCATTCCCGAGCAATTGGAATCGTGGAGGCTCAAGGGCGGACTTGCCAAGGCAAGCAGATGGTTTTCCTGGAACGAAGGAGCTGCTGTCCACTTGAAAGAATGGCATAGCTCCCTCATGCTCCTCTCGTGGTACTTCCCAACAGATCTTGACACTGATGGTCAGTCTGGTTTGTTAGGCCTCAAAGGCTGTTTGACACAGATGTATTGGGAAGATGCCCACATCATCTTCAGAGTTCAATATGGAATGTGGTCGTGGTACTCGCAGCAGATCCATGATGTCAAAAGCCCAGAGCATGCAATCATTGAATCTTTGGAAATGGTCGAGTCATGGATGAGTCATCAATCTCTCCAGACCCTTGCTGAATCGTGGAGCGCTCAAACTTGGGCCGATGTTGAGCGGTTTGTGCCTGACCAGGAGGCCTTCATTGCCAGAGTGAATACCTATGCTCTTGGATGCTTGATGAATCGTTGCGCAACGCTTTCCAAGTTCTCAGCTCCACCTGAGACATGGGTTGGGCTTCTAGATCCCCAGCAAGCACAGGTGACAAGAATGCGGCTCTTGAAGGAGTATCGTTGGTTTCAATCCTTGCGGTGCAGCATGGCTCCTTTTGCAGCAGAGCTTGCCAGTGACATTGAGACGGTCTTCGATTTGCCTTGTCGTCATTTGTGTCATTTGTGTCATTTTGACTTTGGAGCAGCGCAAGAGCTGGCCAAGCTGCTGATTGGTGGCTTTGCGGATTCAAAAGTGGTTGAGGACATTCACCAAGCATGCAGGGTGGCCACGAACCCAGGCAGCAACAAGAAGCTCTCTGGAGCTACGTTGCAGCTTGTTTGCCAATTCTCTGAGGTTTTGGACAAGAGAGGGATCGTCCATCCAGCTGCCCTAACCCGTGAAGAATTCTTGGACAAGTGGCCTGATGCCAGAGATGATTTCAACTGCCGCCAGGAATTCAAATCATCCAGCCATAGTCTACCAGCTCGCTACTCAGAGATTCTGACGAAGAAGATGTGGCGCACTGTCAGTGAGGATTGGCTTCGAACCTCATACGGGGCATGGCAATGGATGATTCAATACTGCGGGCAAAGGCTTGCTGACCAAGGTGTTCGCCTGGAGGCCAGGGAAGTGACGAAAATGACCAAAATGATGTGTAGCAAATGTTTTTGTGTCAGTTGAATTACCCGTCAGGATGGTCTTCTGAACCGCCTTGCTTTTCAAGGGCAAGTGATTGAAGTCAATTTTGTCTATCTACTCATTTTGGGCAATTTGAAGTGGCAAGCCCTTGCTTGGCCGTTGAAGCTTGTGGACGCTGCTGATGATGATTATCGCATGATGCGATGGGTTTTGGATTCGTCGTCAAGTTGTCAATGGCTGCAATGCTCTCTGAACATGCCAGCTTTTCAAACAAAGCTAGTCTGGAGCAATGAGTTTGGCATCCACTGGCAACAGGTTGGGCCTCCTGAAACATTTGCGCAGAATTGCTTGCGGCGCTCCAATGGCCTGACATTCACAGATCTTTGCTTGATGGGGAGGCATCTTTTTGGCTCCGAAATCAAAGAGAAGTCTAGGAAGGACATCCTTTTGAAGCTGGCGTTGCATTTCGGAGATGACTTTGCAGAGCTGGTCTTGGAGTGCGACTCTAAGACGACAAAGAAGTCATCATCTGATCCAGATCAAGCAGCTTTGGTAAAAGCTGTGTTTGACCACTTGGACGCGGATGAGCAGAAGGAGTTTCGCTCTGTCAAGGAGAATGTCTACAGGGAGGAGAAAACTCAGAAGCAATTGAAGTGGCGCAAATTGCTCAACGAAAAAATGGAGGAGCAAGCAGCAACTTGGATGATTAAAATGTTTAATGTTGCTGGTCTGGCTAGTTTGTTCCAGCTGCATTTCAATTTTTTCATTTTTTTCCAAGACAGGCATGTTATTGCATCTACGTTTTTTCCACTTCCAGGAAAAAGCCAAGAAGAAGGCTGCCAAAGGCAAAGGCAAATCCAAAGCCAAAGGGAAGGTGAAGGGAAGAAGCAAAGGCAAAGGAAGAAGTGGCCGAGGCTCAGGAAAAGGGGCTGCAAGCAGTAGTGGAAGAAAAAGGAAGAGGGAAGCTGATGACGAGCGACCAGGCAAGGAAGCAAGCGATGCTGTGAAGATGGAAGACGAAGAGGATTTGGAGGAAGAAGAAGCTCAAGTCAATTTTGTCAATTCAGGCAATTGCGTCAATTCAGATGTGGAGGACCCACTGCCAAATCCAGGTGAAGCAAACGAAACTGAACGTGCTGAAGCAGCAGCTGAACTTGCTGAGGAAGCAGCTCCTCCTGCTGAACTTGCCGAAGAAGCAGCTCCTGCTGCTGAAGTTGCTGAAGGAGCTTCTCCTTCTGAAGTTGCTGAAGGAGCTCCTCCTGCTGAACTTGCTGAAGCAGCAGCTCCTCCTGCTGAACTTGCCGAAGAAGCAGCTCCTGCTGCTGAAGTTGCTGAAGGAGCTTCTCCTGCTGAAGTTGCTGAAGGAGCTCCTCCTGCTGAACTTGCTGAAGCAGCAGCTCCTGCTGCTGAACTTGCTGAAGCAGCAGCTCCTGCTGCTGAACTTGCACCCCCGGCTCAACCGGCTGAGCCAGCTCGGCCAGCGCCTGTGCCTGGCAGAGATGTCGGGCCTCGAGTGCACTCAACACCTGCCCTCCTCAGAAGCATTGAGCCCAACAGTTGGTTCAAGTTGAGGCTTGACAAGAATGCGCACAGGTTTCAAGTCGAGATGGACAAGAATAGAACGGTCCAACATGAGCTGTGGGATTCAACCCAGAGACAAATGTATTATTCCAGAAGTTTCAAAGCAACAGGTGACTGGAAAACCGCACTTCAAGAAGTGCACACTTGGATGTGGGAAAAGTTTGTCTTGGCTGGGTTGGAATTGGGGCCTGGAATCCGAGATCAAATTCCAGGAGAAGTCCCAGATGAAGTTTTTGAAGGCCTCAAGGATGAGATGAGTGCGCTGCCACCTCCTAGGAATTATAATAACAGGAGAAAGTAGAAGAGCGCTGGGATGACAAAGTCATCGCCTTAGGGCCTTGGTAAGACGCTCTGGTTGAAGCAAGTCCTTCACCTGATGCACTTGCAAAATCGCAAGAAGATGCTCTGTTTAAAAGGGAATCAAATAATCCTGTCACATGTTGGGCTGCTTGTGTTTATTGTGAATTGACTCAATTGATTGATTTGTGTGGTATTACAGCCTGAGGGTTGCACCTGGATGGTATTTTTTCAATGCTTTGTCAAATGTTGGGGCCTGCTTGTCATGTGTCAGTGAATTGACTCAATTGACTTGAACCAGATTGATTTGTGTAGTGGCCAGTGGTATTGAAGCTTGAAGTTTGTGCCGGGATGGTCTTTCAATGCCAATGCAGGCTGCCAGAATCATCATCAGGCCAAGGACTCAGGAAGCCTTTACTTTTATACGCAGGGTCAGAAGCCTTGGACTGGTATTGTTGTCAGTGAAGAAACCAAACAAAAGTGTGGACTGGATTGATTAATTCTTTTACCGCAGGTTTTTTGGCCCATGAGCACATTTGTTGGTTTTGCCATTTTGGTCATTTGTGTCAATTTATTCATCATGGACCAGCAAGCTGGCCTCGCGTTTCTTCCGGTGATGGTGCTGTCCACTGTGACAGCCAGTGCCAGCCTTCAAGGCCCAAGTGCAGCTTCAGAAGATGACGATCAAGAGAAATGGCTGGATGACAAGCTCCAACAGATTTCTTCGTTAGATTTCTATGATTTCTTGGCCTTCAGCAAATTCAATAGGCGCTGATGCTGTTTTTGTTCTTGGAAAATTGAGACAACATGCATTGAAATTGAAATCATTCTTTGATGATCAATGAATAACCTCGAAGTCCATTTTGTTAATTGCCCTGCAGGCGTGTCGACTGGCCAGAAGGACTGCATCATGTCAAGTCCACATGTCAAGACTTTCTTGATTTTGACCAAGAGAATGGCGGCAGGGCCTCGAAAGTGTGGCCTTCATTTTTGTGTGAAGCATATTCTTTTTTTGCGCGGCGCAACATCGTGCTTGGAGATGATGGTGCTGGTTGCTGAAAGGTTTCTCTTCAATTTGGCCAATTTCAATGAATTGGATCAATTGGAATTTGTTGAGTTTTGTGCTGGCCGAGCCCATCTCAGTCGAGAGATGCTGCGTCAAGGATTTCACCAAGGAGCTTCTGTGGACATTCTTTTTCATCCCCACCATGACATGTTGAGTTCCAAGGGGCTGAGGACTTGGTTTGACATGGTAGTGGCTTCTCGGCGAAAGTCGTTACACTGGTTTGCTACCAGATGCTCGAGCTTCGTCCCGCTCTGTATCTCTCAAAGCATCAGATATGAGGAGAATTCATTCTACGGGGATAGAAGCAGGCCATGGGTGGAGCAGGGCAACCTTCAACAGGAAGTAACTGCAATGATGATGTTCTTCAGTTTCCTCTTGGATTGCATTCCGGTGTTGGAGCAACCCACAGGGAGTGTGCTTCCAAAACTACCATCCCTTCGTAATGTTTTGTGGTTCTTCGACTTCAAGAAGACAGTGACCTACATGGGAAGCTTTGCTGGCCCAACAAGCAAGCCTCTCCAGATCTGGCATCCGTCTTCAGGGCCTGGCTCCCTATTTGCAGCCATCGCCAGGCCAAGGCCAGATGGCTTGGACAATTTGGCTTCCAGTGGCCAGAGCTGGGATGGAAGCCACACTTACACTGGCAATAAGGAGATGCTCATCCAAAGCGAGCACTACACGCCAGAGTTTGGCGCTTGTGTCGCCCAAATCTACGAGCAGATTCGAGCTTCGTGAAAACTTCACAACGCTCAATTTGCTCAGCGTTGTCCATTCAAAAGTGTCTTGAATGCGACAAGAGTACTATAGCCCAAGGGTTCTTTTGTGCTGACTCACCTGGACCTGAGTGGTGCGTCCCTCTGTCAACTTTGACCGTCTCTGTGGGGTCAAGAGGCAACATGGCATTTGCTCCAGCAAAAAAAATGCGCAATCAGTGACAGAGCACTGCAAGTTCAGCGCTTGCCATCTCATGTGCTTCAGTCAATTAGCTCAATTGAGTCATTAGCCCTTTGGCTTTTTGAAATACTTCAAATATGTGTACTGAGGTTGGAATTGTTCTGCTCCGCTACCAAGCTTGCTCCGCTACCAAGAGTTCAATGCAGGCATGCTTGACTTCTTTGACATTTATTAATATCACTTCCCATTCGCATTCCCAAAGCAAGACTCAAGAACCAGATCAGGTCTGGATGACGCTCTAGGCCTGCCTACTGTTTGTTGCTGGTCCTGCTTGCATTTTTTCAAAAGTAATTCTTAATAACTTGCTGGCAGGCTCGGCGAGAAGTGGCAATTGGATCAATTGACTTCAGCTGATTGTGGCACTTGAAACAATTGACTGACTGACTAATTGAGTTCAGCTTCTCATCTTCATTCTTTTGCCCACTTGGACAATTGTCGATTTGTGTTTCTGCATGCTTGGGTCAAAGCATGTTGGGCATGGCATGATTTCTTGCCTAGTGATTTTTTATTTTATTTTTTTTAAAATTTTTGACTTTTTTTAAAAATTTTTGACAGAATTGACCGGTTCAATTGACAAAATTGACACAAGTCACACACATGATCGAAGCAATGACATGATTTAATTCACGCAGGTGAGGTCTACTAAGAAGACTCTTCACAATAATAACACAACCGCAGGTAAACGTTCAATCAACGCTTTACCATATTTTAGATTTTATCTTTTTGAAAATATTTTGTTTTTTTTAAAAAAATATTTTGTAAAAAATGAAACCACATTTGTTTGCACAACGTTCTGGACAACAAATTAGTCTACCAAAATTCAGATTAGCCTACCTAAATTTCAGAAATGCCTATGTCATTTTCAAATCACCTAGGCATTTCTGAGATCAGGTAGGCATTCCTGAAAATCATGAACGGGCAAACCCCTACAAACTAATACCCTACGATCTGGGATGCATTCTTAAGTTAGTGACTTTGCTTTGGCCCCACCACCGATCAAGGCTATGCCAATCAGGCCTGAAAATATGAGGAATGAGCAGATCCTGAACTACATGGCTGGTGCCATCAGTCAGCACCTCGTGGCAGCTTTGATGCAAGGACTTCCCATGGCTGTGCCTCCTGCCGGTGGTATCTTTATCCGACCAGCCCCAAAGATGCATGCATTGGCTGCTCCAAAGCCACCACCTCCAAAGGCATCAGCAGTGCCTGTGCCTGTGCCAGGTGATAGCACAGATGAGGAGCAAGGTGAAGGAGGCAGCAGAGATTAAATTTGCAAAGCAAAGTGTGCAATCTTCCTGGCCTGCGTAAAGGGTCAAAAAAGGTCAGACCTGAACTCCTGTGTAGGAGGCTGCTTACAGTGTGGGCCAACAGAGCACTAAATTAATTCCTGTGCAGGAGATATGTGCCACACACACACACACATATATATAATATATATATATATATAATATATAATTCCCCACCTGCCAGGTGAGGGTTGTTAGATTTTATGTCAGTTGCCTCCTCGTCCTCCTTCTCCTCCTCCTCCTCCTTCTCCTCCTCCTCCTCCGCCTCCTCCTGCCTCGTCCTCCTCTCCTCCTCCTCCTCGTCCTCCTCGTCGTCCTCGTCGTCCTCGTCGTCCTCGTCGTCCTTGCTCAACTGCGACCCGCGATCCCCAGTGTTCTCTGCCGGACCTCAACCACGACCATCCACGCCCAGTGTTCCCTGCCGGACCTCAACCACGACCATCCACGCCCAGTGTTCCCTGCCGGACCTCAACCACGACCATCCGCGCCCAGTGTTCCCTGCCGGACCTCAACCACGACCATCCGCGCCCAGTGTTCCCTGCCGGACCTCAACCACGACCATCCGCGCCCAGTGTTCCCTGCCGGACCTCAACCACGACCATCCGCGCCCAGTGTTCCCTGCCGGACCTCAACCGCGACCATCCGCGCCCAGTGTTCCCTGCCGGACCTCAACCGCGAGTATCCATGCCAAGTGTTCCCTGCCGGACCTCATGTAGGAATGTCAGATAGACTGCCAGATAGAATGCCAGATAGAATGTCAGATAGGATGTCAGATAGAATGCCAGATAGAATGCCAGAAAGAATGCCAGAAAGAATGCCAGATAGAATGCCAGATAGAATGTCAGATAGGATGCCAGATAGAATGCCAGATAGAATGCCAGAAAGAATGCCAGAAAGAATGCCAGATAGACTGCCAGATAGAATGCCAGAATATATGTCAGATATAATGCCAGATAGAATGCCAACATATATGCCAGAATGTATGTCAGATAGAATGCCAAAATATATGTCAGATATAATGCCAGATAGAATGCCAGAATATATGCCAGAATATATGTCAGATAGAATGCCAGAATATATGTCAGATATAATGCCAGATAGAATGCCAACATATATGCCAGAATATATGTCAGATATAATGCCAGATAGAATGCCAGAATATATGCCAGAATATATGTCAGATAGAATGCCAGAATATATGTCAGATAGAATGCCAGAATATATGTCAGAATAAATGACAGGTAGAATGCCAGAATATATGTCAGATGAAATGTCAGAAAATATGTCAGATAGAATGCCAGATAGACTGCCAGATAGAATGCCAGGGGGAATGTCAGGATATATGCCAGATAGAATGCCAGAATATATGCCAGAATATATGTCAGATAGGATGTCAGAATATACTAAATATATGTCCAAATATACGTCCTGACATGTCATGGTGGGGATCACACGAAGTAGAGTAATCTATATTTGTTTTTTTGGGCAAGCATTGGCAGGGACTCCTGTAGAGGAGTTTTCTTCCGGTTCAATTGATCAGCTATTTGCATGGTTTCAAGGGACAAAGCTCCAACCTTCAGTCTTGTGTCTGCCCAGGCTTACACCTCCTGTGCAGCAGGCTGTGGAAGCCCAGATTTCACAGGGACATGGAGATGACTTGTGTAGTCTTACCCATTTCTGTCACTGAAGGTTTCTGTGCAGCTTGCAAGGTTAGTCTGAGTTCGATTTCAGTCTAGAGGTGATTAGGTATGACTAACTCTGATTGGTAGCCATTACTAATCTGTACCCCAAACCCAATTACTAATCATTGGCAGGGCCACGTCAAACGAATAAGTCGTGAATTAGGGAATAGAAAAAATGGGACGAGAGAGGCATGCACACCTACCTGTGAAAACACAATGTTTTGCGCATGTTGGAATAAGTTGTGAATTAGGGAATAGGAAAAAATGGGACGAGATACACATGCAGCATTTACCTGAGAAAACACAATGTTTTTTGCAGTTTGGCATAAGTTGCGAATTAGGGAATAGGAAAAAATGGGACGGGAAGCACAAAGGTTGCACTTTACCTGTGAAAACACAATGTTTTGTGCACTTAGGAATAAGTTGCGAATTAGGGAATAGAAAAAAATGGGACGGGAGACAGACAGGAGGCATTTACTTGTGAAAAGCCAATGTTTTGCGCAGTTTGGAATGAGATCAGCAGCATGCACATTGATGTTTCCACAACAGAGTTTGGAGATCAAAAGATGTGAAAACATCAGAGAGCGAGACGGTACCAACTGGGGTGTGCGGCATGCCGCACACCCCAGTTGGTACCGTAGATGGACAAAATATTCAAACCCTGCAGCACGCACTATGTTGAACCCCCGCACCCCCAAATCTCAATGTTTCAGCGGGCGTGTTAGCAAAAGTGATGTTAGGCGTTTGATTATTTTCGTCCATTGGGGCTAACGCACTTCAGGTTACAATAACATTGAACTTTGGGGGCGAGGGGGTTGTACCGGATAGAAGGGGTTTGAGTATTTCGTCCATCTACGGTAGGTATAAAAAAAAACTTGAGTCTACTTGAGTTAACTTGAGTTAACTTGACTTTAACTTGAGTTAACTTGAGTTATGTTTGTGACCCGAACTTGAGCATCTAGAGGCAAGCAATTTCTACATGCCGCAGGTAATTGACAGAGCAATCAAACTGAAATGTTTTGCTTTTGAATTACGTTTGTTTTTTATTAGACAATATTAGTTTGCCTCGAGAATGAACATGTTACATTCAGTATATAGACAGTATTAGTTTGCCTCAAGAATGAACATGTTACATTCAGTATAAAAACATGTTACAATTTTAATATTTTCATAAATCCATAATCAACATGAAAATTCAATATTTAAACACATATTCAATGTTAGGTTGTCTATATTTTACATAATAGAAACGTATTTTGAGATTTCATTTCTTTCTAAATACATTATATTGTATTCAATATTATTATCAGATATAATATATAGTTTTTCATATTTCAATATTAGAACATTAAAATCTATATATGTTTATCTATCAATACATATTTTTTTCAGAAGGGGACACGCTGGGAGTGCGGGTTTTCACTGTATTCTAGAACCACTGACACTGCACATGTGCCATGGTTCTCTCACTGCTTTGCAACCATTGACAATTCTGTAATTTCTGTTTGGTTTTTCTGCAATGGCTAAACAAAACCAAAAACCAAAAACAAAAAAACATAAAAACAAAAGAAACCAAACAAACAACAAAAAACAAAAAAAATGACAAGACCCAACTCTCTGCCACTACTCCCCCCCTTGGGGTGTGAGTCTTGTTTTTTTTGGGGTGTTTCTTGGTTTTTTGGCTTCTTATTTTCTAATTCGTTGTTGGTTTTTTCTGCAATGGCTAACAAGACCAAAAAACAAAATTAGTTTACTTCGAGTGATCCCCACCATGACATTTATACGTTTTAATATTGGCATATCTTCCACCACA